ACTTCTGCGTGAATTTCTGGGATTAAAGAGTTATTGTTATTTACATTCAGACTAATATCCTCATCTTTGTTGTTATTATCACCTGATTGCCTTCTCTCTGAATTTCTGGGATGAGGATTTATCATTATTTACATTCAGACTAATATCCTCATCTTTGTCGTTATTATCACCTGATTGCCTTCTCTCTGAATTTCTGGGGTGAGGAGTTATCATTATTTACATTCAGGCTAATATCCTCATCTTTGTTGTTATTATCACCTGATTGCCTTCTCTCTGAATTTCTGGGATGAGGATTTATCATTATTTACATTCAGACTAATATCCTCATCTTTGTCGTTATTATCACCTGATTGCCTTCTCTCTGAATTTCTGGGGTGAGGAGTTATCATTATTTACATTCAGGCTAATATCCTCATCTTTGTTGTTATTATCACCTGATTGCCTTCTCTCTGAATTTCTGGGATGAGGAGTTATCATTATTTACATTCAGACTAATATCCTCATCTTTGTCGTTATTATCACCTGATTGCCTTCTCTCTGAATTTCTGGGGTGAGGAGTTATCATTATTTACATTCAGGCTAATATCCTCATCTTTGTTGTTATTATCACCTGATTGCCTTCTCTCTGAATTTCTGGGATGAGGAGTTATCATTATTTACATTCAGACTAATATCCTCATCTTTGTTGTTATTATCACCTGATTGCCTTCTCTCTGAATTTCTGGGGTGAGGAGTTATCATTATTTACATTCAGACTAATATCCTCATCTTTGTTGTTATTATCACCTGATTGCCTTCTCTCTGAATTTCTGGGATGAGGAGTTATCATTATTTACATTCAGACTAATATCCTCATCTTTGTTGTTATTATCACCTGATTGCCTTCTTACTGAATTTCTGCAATGAGGAGTTATCATTATTCACATTCAGACTAATATCCTCATCTTTGTCGTTATTATCACCTGATTGCCTTCTTACTGAATTTCTGCAATGAGGAGTTATCATTATTCACATTCAGACTAATATCCTCATCTTTGTTGTTATTATCACCTGATTGCCTTCTTACTGAATTTCTGGGATGAGGAGTTATCATTATTCACATTCAGACTAATATCCTCATCTTTGTTGTTATTATCACCTGATTGCCTTCTCACTGAATTTCTGCAATGAGGAGTTATCATTATTCACATTCAGACTAATATCCTCATCTTTGTTGTTATTATCACCTGATTGCCTTCTTACTGAATTTCTGGGATGAGGAGTTATCATTATTCACATTCAGACTAATATCCTCATCTTTGTTGTTATTATCACCTGATTGCCTTCTTACTGAATTTCTGCAATGAGGAGTTATCATTATTCACATTCAGACTAATATCCTCATCTTTGTTGTTATTATCACCTGATTGCCTTCTTACTGAATTTCTGCAATGAGGAGTTATCATTATTCACATTCAGACTAATATCCTCATCTTTGTTGTTATTATCACCTGATTGCCTTCTTACTGAATTTCTGGGATGAGGAGTTATCATTATTCACATTCAGACTAATATCCTCATCTTTGTTGTTATTATCACCTGATTGCCTTCTCACTGAATTTCTGCAATGAGGAGTTATCATTATTCACATTCAGACTAATATCCTCATCTTTGTTGTTATTACCACCTGATTGCCTTCTAACTGAATTTCTGCAATGAGGAGTTATCATTATTCACATTCAGACTAATATCCTCATCTTTGTTGTTATTATCACCTGATTGCCTTCTTACTGAATTTCTGGGATGAGGAGTTATCATTATTTACATTCAGACTAATATCCTCATCTTTGTTGTTATTATTACAATATTTTAGCCATCGTACCCTCCAAACATCATCAAATATTTGTTGTTCCTGGAATTTTGGATTGAACCTGACAGGGTTAGATTATTCTTGTTCTTCTGTTCATCTCAAGGGATACCTTGTCTAATTATTATTTAGTATTACTCAGTTATGATCACTGTGTATTTTTTGTTTGTTTTTGGTAAACATTTTTTTTTTATAATTCTCGATTTTTTTGTTGTTGAAATTATTCTTCATGTCTTTTATTCATCTTATTGAAATCCTTTCACTTGCATTATGCCACATGGAACTTCTGCATAAACTTACTTTTCTTTGGAAAGCCCACCATCAGAGATGTTGTTTTTTTGTGTCTCTCATGTCAATGACCTGATTCCATTCTTGACATATTCACAAGGAATTTTTTTATACACATACACAAAAAAAGAGTTTTAAGTTGAATTTTAAAAATGGGAATTATTATGCAGAACTTTTAAGAAGAAGAAGAAGAAGAAGAATCATCATCATTATCACCTCCTCCTCGTTTTTTATTTTTTTCTCAGTTATTACTTCTTAATGACTAGTAATAATAATAGTATGATAATATATATTATGATAATAATAATAATATTATAATAGTTATCATGAATGGATGAAAATCAAATATAATCCTCTTTTATAATGCCCATTAGCATGGAGTAGGTAGCTATGGTTAAATATAAAATAAATGAATGGCAGAACTGATCAACAAACAGATTTGACAAAGTTTGCAATAAATAATTACAGGAAAAAGAAAAGAACAGGCAAAAAATAATATAAAGCAAGCAAACAATATATGCAAGGTAAAAAGTTCATAAAATAAGAATTGGGTTTGACACACAAGAGCAAATTTGGATAAGTGAAAGTAGCGTTCTGACTTCAAGACAAGACAGACCAGGACTGAGTCAGATGAAACTGAGAACTAGCCTATTTTATTGGCTAAGAAAAAAATCCCAGCATGCACTTGTGTTTTTTACCTATAAATTGGGGAGAGAAAAATGTTTTGCAGTCATTTCCAGTACAAATTGGAATCAAGAATTACAAATCTCAAAATGTTGAGTAAGAGCCAGCCAACTATATTAAAAATTATCAACATTTTTGCCAACATCTGCTCAAATAGAATCAATTCTTAATAGTAACCAACATTTATAGTTTTGTCATTAACTCAGGAGATAGTCTTTCATGTACATTTCTTTTTTTTCTTTTATGTGCTGTGTCACTTCAGGATGTATGCAGTAATAGCTCTCCTTAACATCCTATCGTGTGTAGAACTAAGCAATGTTTGTCTCCTTATGATTCCTTCCAGTGCAAGTTCTGCTATTGATTTACACATACTCTTTATGCATCCATCTTTGTAAAGTAATTGGCCATGGTTAAGTGTATTGAGAAAATTGTTTGAAAACAATTGTTCAGAAAACATTTATTCAAATTGTAAATTGTTTGAATGAAAATTAATCGAAAGGATAATTATTCTAAATGATAATGTTTGAAAGACATATGTGGTCTTGCTTTGAGAGAATCAATGCTGATTTACCTAGAACTAATAACACCCTTGATGGATGGCATAGGGCCTTTTTGCAGCAAGTGTCATCCCATCATCCCACAGAAATTCTTAGATGCTTTTGAAAGAAAACAGGACTTGCAAGAAATTCCTATTGCAAAAGTAAGAGTATGTTGTCAAAATATCAAGAATCGCAAGAAATACAGCAATATAAATGGCAAACGTAAAAATTAGTGGCTTCCTTTAATGAGTACTCTTCACTAGTTGACTATTTGCATGCAGTATTATATAACTTAAGGTTATAAGTATTTTTGTCTTACTAAATTGTTTTATTAACTATATTTGTATTTTGAATAATTATCATTTGTGTATTTATTCTTTTAATTTTTACATTTTTATTGAAATAAAGAATTTTGTATTTCGAATAATTATCATTTAATAATAAGTAATAAGGCAAAAATTTCACAAAGAATTGTGTTCATACATAAAAGAGATGCAGTTAAATAATTATAGATTTCCAATAAGAAAGAAAAAATAGGGCACTGTGACCGAGAACTGTTGATTTTTATTGTTTAGAAAGAAATCCCATCATGCATCTGTAGAATTTGTCTATAAATCATTCGCAGAGAGATTGCAACCAACACACAAAATGAGAAAAGATGGATTGGAGAATTTAACACTCTTTAGTTATAGTGAAGGGAAGAGAGGTAGAAGGAAAAAGAAAAAGGATGTTCTAGCAGGCTTGTGCAAATGGAGAGTATGTCACTGCAAATTTGTTCATTTTTATTGATTTGAAAGAAATATCTATGGGTTATTTGCCTCGGGGTTTTTGACAAGATCTGTCTTTTTTACAAATACTTGAAATATCTGATGAGCTGCATTCCCAGACTTTGCTGGCATCCTGCTCTCACCCTTTCACTGTTGAAACTGTTAAATGTAGCTGCCTCTTCTACTCCAATAGCTTCATATCTCGCACTTCTCGCCTGTGGAACTCCCTTCCCTATTCCTGTTTCCCTGATAGCTATAACCTTCAACTTTTCAAATGTAATGTCAATTGACATCTCCAGTTGCCTTGATCTATCCACTATCCTTCTCCCCATCCTTTTCCCTTTCATTCCTACCTGCTCCCATTCCAAATCCTCTATAACCCCTTGGGTGCTAGTTGCTTTCCGTCTTGCTAAGGGTGAAATCGTACCACAGATGAACTTGCGTCGTCATTTGTACTCTGGAGGCACCCATCATCTGACAATCGATCACACAAGTTAACCTTTCCAGATAGGATAAAACAAGACACATTGATCCCTAAGGAAGATCTTTTAGGAGCTATGACGGATAGGGAAAACTGGTGTAGTGAGTTCAATCTCGGCTGAGGCCGCAGGATGATGATGATGATGATAATGATGAGGGGTGAAATGCTTAAAAAAAAAAATGCCGAAATCTAAAAATTATGTACAGAATTTTTAATTTTAATTTTTTTACGATAATAATGGTTTAATGATACAAGTCTTACTAATTAACACATAGCTGGGAGTAAAAGAGGTTAATTCATCCCAAGTGAATATAATGAACCTAACTGGAATTTGAATTCAGCTCTCTGATTAACAATTCTGAGCCATTATCCATTAAACCACTTGTATATCCAAGCTTACACCACCTAGTATTTCCAAGTAGTCACCCATGTAGATACTGATTAGGCTCGATGTTGCTTAACTTCAGTGATTGTATGGGAACTGGTGTTTCAGTTTGATGTGGCTGTAAGCTCCTAGTACTAAGAGCTGCATAGTATAAGTGGTTGTGGTGAACTATTATCACCTTTATAAAACCAAGCATAATCCGAACAAAGAGAAAATGCTATCTGTCCATAGTTCAATGAAAAGCATTTATATATGTTTTTTTCCTTATTTCTTTTATCAAATTAAAGCCTTTTGCTAATAACATGCACCAAATCAGAATTTGGAATAACAAAAAAAAAAGACTTATAAAATTGGAGAATGATTTGAAGTTCTTCACTTTTCATTGCAATGAATAAAGGCAATTTTGATTAATGAGAGCCAAAGTCATTGCAAACAACAGATTTCTAAGATGTTTCCTCTGGATATGGGAATCTTCTGACTGCATGAATTGACCAGTTCTGAACTCTTGAATAATCTATTCAAGGAACAATCGCTTAGAATTCTAAGAACATTTGATTTTGCCGCCAACTTGTTGAGACTGATAAATATTGCCTAAAGCTTTGTTAAAAAATGACAGAGATGCAAAACAACAATTTGGAAAAGATTCTTAGTGTACAAACAGTACCAGATTCTTCAATGAGGATGAGAAGCAGAAGAAGATGCAAATGCCAGAAACAGAGATTCTTGGATCTCCTTCTATCAAAGCTTATAATGAAGTGAATCGGTACAAAGTTTTCCAAATGAAAAATCCATTATTTGAAGTGAATCGGAATTTTCCTTGTCTCTCATTCATGATCTCAAACTTTATAATTCTGTCTTAACTATATTCCTAAGTTTGTTTTTAGAGCTCTCTGCTTTCCACTGCCCACATTTAAACTGTCTGTTTTGTGATGTCAACAACACTCATTACCACTTTTGTAATGCCAACAAATACTCATTGTCACTTTGTAATGATCGTTGTGGTGGGGACTTTATAATTGCAGATACAATATAGTACATTAGTGAACAATGCTGGTGTCAGACACCGAATAGCACTTGCATTAATAGTACTTGCTCAATAATACTCACTCAGAAAGTAACCACTGAATAGAGAAATAGTATAGTGAATAGAGTAGGGAATAGCAGTCCATATAGTATTAAAGGATAAATTAGAAATAGTGCTCTGAATAATAATAGAGGATAGACTAGAAATGCAGATCAATTAGACATCACACGACTTCCTACTTATGTGTTTCTCCCATGATCATGTGATCCACTTAATTCAATAATGGGATTGCCTGTGTTTGCTCACTGGTGATCTGCATTCAAACTCAAGTGTTGGCAGCGACAATATTCCTATATAACAATCTGATCAAAAAAATATCAGAACTGTTGCTATGGTAATGAAGTTAAAGCATGCAGAGTGAAACTGCATGATGCAGATTAATCTTGAACTCTGTCATGCTTACACTTACTAAGTTATGAGGTTCTCGCTCACTTCCGTTATTATTGCAGTGCTTGGAAGGAAAGTGTGTAGAGTGTGGTCGTCTCACCAAACCACAGAGGTTCCATTAGTGATCATCGCTTGTACAGCAGTTTTGGGGTATGGACCACATTCCCCACTTTCTATAACCACCATATTCCCCAGATCTTGCCTTTTGCAATTTTTTGCATGTTAAAAATCAAATCTCACAAGATTTCAAGACATCCAGGTAGTTGCTAGCTATCCCAAAGAAGGAGTTCCAGGAATGCTTCCACCAATGGAAATGACATTGGATAAAGTGTGTATCTTCCGGAGAGTACTACTTCAATACCTTTTCATCAGACATTAGATGCATAATTTATCTTTGATAACAGCAAAATGGTTATAATTTTAGATGACACTGTACACTTTGAACTTGAGATAAATATCTAGTCGGCTTCATCACCTTTTTCATTAGTTTTTCTATTATGCCTATAACAGGGTTTCAATTCACAAAATAAAAAAAAATCTATAATATTTAATCATGGCTAATAAAGAAACTTTTTAGTTGGTTGATTTTGTTTAGTAGCATATCAATACCTCTATGGATTATTTAATGCTGAAATCTAAATAATTTGTACAGTTTTATGGCATCAAGTAAATATATTTTGAATGCAATTGCATGCATTCAGCTACAGATAAAATATATTATTGGTAATTCTGGTATAAAATGTATTGCTGGTCCTTTTACTGTAAAATGTGTTGTTGGTAATTTTTCTATAAATATGTATTGTTGGTGAAATTTTATATAAAAATATATTGCTGCTATTTTTACTATAAAAATGTATTTTTATACTTTCATGGTTTTTTGTTTTTGTTTGAGGTTTCACTATTTGACCATAGCTGGGACCCTAACAGGTGCTACCACCCAGGGACATGGTGGACTTGAGAACAACAATAATTAAGAGGTGGTATCACGCTCCTCAAAATCTCACTTTCCTGATCAGGGGCCTTGCTGCTGAATGTAGTTTATCATCATACCCAGGACTCAATAAAGAACTCCTCACATTACTACTATGGGCATTGTCACACTGGTAGTGTCATAGGGTTTTCAAACACAGTATTTAAAATATTATAGATATCAATTTTTTACCAATTTTTTTTACCCATTTCATCCTAAGCAAGGCAATAAAACTACTAAGACACAAGGACTTATGGAGAGTGAAGGAAACTGAGAAAAACATTGTTGACAAGAAAAGACAATAAACGAACAGAATTCAGGAAGACTGATGATGATGATGATTGATATTGCATGTAAATTTCTGAAGGTTGTAGCTGACAGAAAAAGAAGGAGCCAAAAAAAAGGGTTTCACAGGCAAGAAGTGTGCTAGAAGAAATCAATAAAAATTTCTTATATTTGGCAAATATGATGAGATCTAGCTGTTAATCTAGAGCTATACTTAACTTCATGAAGTTGATTTATGAATGTTGGTTCAATTAATTTTTTACAGTTTATCTACCCTTTGTCGGTTACTTACAGCTGAAACATATTTCGCATTGGAGAAGGTTGCTTACAATATGCAGTGTTCTCAAATAGTCACCCATTTAAGTATTGGCTAGGGTTGACACTGCTTATGTTCAGTGATTGATAATTGCCATGATAATATTTATAGAAAAGCTCAAGCAGAAGGGGTATGTAAAAGATATGCAAAAATGATTGACATTTCATAACATTGCAGGTTTTTCTTTGAATTCTGTTAAGAATTTGTAGATATATAATCCTTCTTATATACAGCGTGGTGCAGATAGTAAATTTGTGAGTGATTACTTCCCTTAGTCACTTTAATAATTTATACCAATAAAATATTTATCAACACTTAGACATAATTAGTCCTTGAGCAAAGTGAACTGTTTATTAATCAGTTCCTTTACTCCTACATTTCTTAGATTGCAGTCATATTTGTTCAAGCCTTTCATGTGAGACACTCAGGTATCTTTGTCTATTAAGTGATTATCTTGGTTCTTGAAATAGGTTTTGTCGTTGCCATCACTAATCATTATTTTTCTGAGAGATATTTCTATTCCACTGTTATATTAAACACAAAGTTTCTAACATGAAAATATATTGAGCAATAAGGGATTTATATAGTAGCAAGACTAATCAATGAAACATAGACACTATTGAACATCTAAAAGATATAAAGAAAACAGAATGATTAAACGGTTCATTGGCCTGTATTTTAGTTGTGAATTATTTATGTCAGCTTTATTGAATCTCAATACATTGTTTCAAGGCTTTTATTTCATTGCATCTCACTATTAAGACATTTTAACAAATGCCATCATTTTTGTTGGCATGTGTACACTAGTAATAATAATAAATACTATGATATTAATCTCCAAATCTGAGACAGTACTTGGTAATTTGTTTGTTTTTGTTTCCATTTTCATAAAATTTTATCCAAGCACTAAAAAAAACCCCTGAAAATAATGGAAAGTCCGCTCTCTCTATTGTCATTATTATATGAAGAAAATGTATTTTCTAAGGAAGCTTATAATCCAGCATAAAGAGTTATTAATTATTGTTTTATTTTTATGGTTTATTTCAGGTCCTGGTTGTTCAGATGAAGCAGAACCTATTGCTGCAGTGAGCAAACATTTTAATATGATTATAGTTAGTTATAGTGCTGAAGCAGCAGCTTTGAACAATAGACAGAAATACCCTTTCTTCTTTAGAACAGTCCCACATATCAACTACTATCGGTAAGTATCCTGTTTTATCCTACTCTAAATAACAAACGGTATGGAAAATCAGATCTGAAGAAATTAACTCTTTGCAGCAAAGATGACATTTCCAAGACAGTTGGACTATTTTGATATCTACTGTATATACGCAACTACAGTGCAAGTTTTTATGATCAGTTTTTTTACACAAAAAATAGTTCCATCACACTATGCACAGATAATTTTTTGAGGAAGTTAAAAATCATGCATTTTTATTTTTATACACACTACATCCCATGATTCATAGTAAATTATACACAAAATATCATTGTACATGCTACAGGAAGAAATTATTTTTGATACAAAAAAGAAAATTCTTTTACTGGATATTTATTGACTAAAAGTCAAGGAAGTCTTGTTCTTCATTATCTTTACCAAATAACATATCCAACCTTCTGCTTGGACCTGATCAGTAATCCTGAAAAAAGGTTGTCATTGGACAGACAATACTTATTGAAATGAAGATGAATACAAATTTGAGATAAGAAAAAAATCTATTAAGTCTTCATTTACATAAGGTATTTATTGATTTTAAGTGGCATACATAGTGGATGTGCAAGATGTGCATTATGTAGCAACAAAAAAGATGAAACTTAGGCAGTGTGTGAGGCAGGCCCAGGATAAAAGAGCTACTGTAGTCAGACATGAATAAAAACAAAAGTACGGTACCTAAATATTTGTATCAGATATTTTACAGTAAGTGGTTTCTCTCACTATTTGGGGGTAGCTTTGTATAAAAAAATGTATGAAAACCATTAATCTGCTATAAAATATTTCCAGTACTGCAGTATTTGAATATGGTAGGCCTATTAGTATTGCTCAGATGTTAGGATAACATTATATACAAGCTATATG